AAGCTCAGGCAAACTGAGTTGGACGTGCAGGGAACGTAGGTCTAGTGTTCAGAGCTGAGCTAAAAGAGATGAATGTGCTTAGGCTCCGTGCAGAAAGAGTTCCTTTGACTAAGTCCACTTCAAATGAGAGCTCTCACTGAATGAACGACGATAATTGTTTCTCTTTCATTGTCTCCGTCTTTGCCAAGAAAAAACATAATACCAAAACAACATTTTTCACTAATGGGAAAGAAACTAAAAATGTGAATAAAAAAGAAACAAAATAATATTCCAATATGCACCTGATTTTCTCCATTCATTTGCTCAGATTTCGACTTAAGGTTTTGCCTTTGATATATGTATATTCAGTTAAGCACTCAGTTTAGCTTAAAGTTTAGGTCAAAGTTAAATCTTTTTTGAGCAAATCGCTGCGTTCATCCAAGAGTCTAATTTTATTTTCATAATTTTCCATTTATTCGAAAATATACTAAAATATGCAGACAATCTTCCGGTTCAACGCCTAAATTATGCATTTAGTCGTCTTTGTCGACAACCGCAAGCAAAGCAGAGAAGCATAAAGAGTGGAATTTTTGCTTGAATAATATTAAATGAAAACATATTTATAATTATTCGTGTCTTAAATGAAAACAATTCAAGTTGAGGGAATTTTACTTACGCAATAATTTAAAAATAGTTCATAATTTGACCCTCGTCAAATGCTTTCATAAGCTGCTCGACCTTGAGAGAAGGGACATAATTGATATCTTTGAGTTTGTCCATTTTCAGCAGCTCCAAGGCAGACAGTTGAGATGCAAACTTTGTGCTTCGCTTTCATTTGCATATCTCAAAAGGTTGACAAGAAACATATCTGTTGTAAGACGTCTTAGTGTACACCAGTCAAATGGAGACGAACGAGTGGCAGACCTAACTGCTGCTAACTGCTGACTCGTTACTAAGTTACAAAAGAACTTTTGCTCAGAGAGAAAAAAAATTAGATAAATTATTTGAACAGCATTCAATTTGCGGCAAAGGCCGCCGTCGCACATGAAATGCAAACACGAAACGTAAACAGAAAATTTTTCGGCTTTGGATGAGCGAAAAGGCCAAATGCAGGCGTTCTGGCCGGTTGGCAGCAAAAGAACGTCCAGAACTTTGGCTCTCAACTCATATTTTATTCAGCTGGAACGAAGGACCACACAAGTGACTCCTTCGCCTGCGGCATAGCTTTGGCTACATCCGCGAAATACCCGACTAACGAACTTCTGCAACGGAGCTGAGCTCTTGCCATTTTATGTCTTTTTTTCTGTCAAGAATTTTTTACTATGCTGCTGAAAGTGAAAAAATGATGGAAATAAAGTGCAAGCTTACAGGCCGTCATCTTTGAGAGGCTGCCTTTTATATTTTTAATTTGCATATCCTTGGGAATAGGCGCACTAACTCATCCACTGGCTTAAAAACATAAGCTATGCTCTTAATTAATATAAAAGCTTTTTACAACTGATTAAATTGTTAGATTTTAAGCCGTATTAACAAGCCACGTTTTTCATCAATCAGCATATAACATTTATGTAATAAATATATGCCATTAAACAATACAAATATGTACAGCAATCAAATATGATTTCACTTTTTTCCAGCCAGGAAAAATGTTTTTTTTTTTAGATTATATTAAACATTTATGAAGAGAGAAGTTGACTCTGTGTCGACGCTGAAAAGTATGCTTTAAAATAGTTATTATCCATCATATATGAAATATTTATTACAGTTTATTAGAATTTTCACTCTAGAGCTTATCTATGCAATGGTGCTATCTTAATCGCACAGAGAAGGTCACAATTCTGTGCTCGCATCGATTTAATGGTGCGGTCATGCGAAAAATGAAAAAAGAAAGTCTTAACAATGCTTCCGTGTATGCCAATCCTTGTTTACTTTCCTTTTTTTGTATTATCTACAAGTTTGACAAAGGAAAGGAAATTATCATAAGTTTCATAGCTAAAGGGGCGGTAGTCGCTTTAAAAGTACTTATGCAAACACACACACACAGCGAAGCAGACGCACGTGTGTGGCAAAGTATTTTATGAATTATCGATTTTCATTTAAGAACATATTTAAGGGCTCTGTGTGAGATTGCGAGACAATGGCAACAAGAACTACAACTATGCGTTGACTCTTGCTGTTGACGTAATGAAATTCCTTAAAGGTATTTTGTCAGTTCGCCTCCCTCTCCTAGTGGGATGCTCGGACAAAATATGCTTGTCATTCAACAGCATGTTCGACGTCCAGCACGGCACGCACAGTTGGACACACAGTGACACTGAAACAGAAATTAATGTAATTAACACAGAGTGTTGTAGGCAAAACTTAAGCTCTCCACTCTGTAGACACCCACTGCCACTTAGGGCTAAGTAGCTGCTGACGTTGGCTAAACTGTTGTCCGCAGATAAACTCTCATCAGCGGACATGCAACATATTTCACATATCAGATTTTGAGGGATTTTGAGACAGTAGAAGTTGCAACAGATTGCGTTTTGCTCTCGGCTATAATGTTGGGGATGACATCACGCAATGGAGCTTGCCTTCAACGGGTATAATCAGAGCACATGCAACCGAAAGTAATTACAGCGACATGTGGCACGCAGGTGGACGAAATAAAGTCAAACTGTTCCTAAAGCTGACTAATGGAGTGTGGGGCGTAAGCGTGACGCTGCAAGTATCTTGATTGTCACAAATTAATTAATAATGCTTGTAACATTTACTTTAATTATATTGAAACACTAGAGTGGCATGAGTATGTGTTTGCACACATTTCGAGTATTACGTGATGGACACCAAAGAACTATGTCAGCATTATAAATGACTTGAAGAGAGCACTCAGCTAGTGGTTATTTAATTTAATTAGTAAGCAAATAAACTGAGCTATAATTAGGCTGCAGCTCTCTATGAGTATAACATCTAGTTGTTTTTTAATTAAGAAAAGTGTAAATGACAAAAAGGAGTTAAGCTTTTGAGCAGAATTTAACATTAAGCCAGCTTAAAATATAGAGAATTCTAATACATTTGTGTAACATTTGAGCTTAAATTTAAAATTTATTCATTACAAACTCCACAGGCATATAAATGGTTGTTGTGAATCGTAATAAAGTCTTTTAAAAGATTTGTTAAATAACGTATATAAATCCTCTTGGCGATAAGTATTTATTTAATGCATTTTACCTTGTGCGCTGTCGGCTCGATAAAAAATAAACCAGTAGTTAAAGTAAAGCCATCTTAATTTTGTATATTTTCAGAGCTTTCAGAGCCGCACAGCCCTCTACTTGCCAGCTTATTACCACCCGATGCCACTTTGCTGCCGTTGTTGTTGGTGCACAATAAATATTGATTACGATGGTGTTTGAAATTGTTGTGGGTTTATTTGGTTGAGATGGCTGGCTTAATGTTCCGTTGAAATTCTAATTTATAAACCAATTAGCAGCCAAAGCTCATGGCGTAGCCATAAATTTTCGCTGCCAACAAATTTAATCAAACAGTTAGCTCTCGACTGCTGTTGTCTTCTTTCGAACGAACTTCGCATAGTTCCTCAGACGCCAGGGAGGCGTGGACCTACTTCCAACTAAATATCATTCACGCTCCGTTAATTCGAATCCTTACAAAAATTAACTAATCGCACAAGTCGCTCTGCATTCAGCTAAACATTTGGATTGCCCGCTTAACATAGATTCGCATACTTAGTGCGATTATCTAGAACAAAGCTATAATCAGAGCTAAATATTTTTGGAGATTTACTCTGCGATGGCAGCTAATGCCGCCAATAGAATTTTCTCAAAGTGAATTCAGCTAATTATCGCAAGCAAGCGCTTCACTCGTACCCACACAATAATGAAACTTCCATTTAGATTTTTCAGTTAGTATTTTATTTATGAACTATTAATTTATTTAAAATGAAACATACAAAAGGTACAATACATAATGAAAATAAAACAAGTTATAGCCAAATTATATTCACAGTTTTTAGTTGTAGTAGAAACTCTATTCTATGCTTTGGTTTCCACTAACGTTTTCCATATTACTTATGTAACATTGTGTATTTTTGGTGCCGTACCTAGGCGTACGTTGTCAACCACATACATTGGGTCTGTAATTATTAGTAGGCCTGTATGTATGTAAGTATTTATAATGATTTATTTCTACGAAGAATTTTGCTTTAATTTTTACACATATTTTAGCAAGTATTCATGCTAATCATAATGCATTTAGTCGAGCTCATTTCCTAAATTTTGGCGTAACATGAATATTTTATGTACATTTAATTAATAACCTCTCTATTGTGAACGTGCATTAATTGTTATTCGGTAATTGAGTTACTCCAATACTATCTTATTCTATTCACGAACCACATGTCCACAGACCGCAGAGACCCAAAAGAACAATACCAAAGCGAATGCTAACAAATTGCTAGTTAGCAAATTGAGTTTTGATTTTTTCAAGCTTTTGTTTTTGTTGTTGTTTTTGCCTAAATTTTTGGTCCTTTTGGATGCAACTGTACTTTGATTGTGGCCAGCTGTTCGCTCTATTTGTTTGCTTCATTTTGTTCGATTTTCCGGAATGCTTTCCTTCTATATGTTATATACACTTTGGCTAATTGGGGGACGAGAGACTATTTTAGAACGTGAATCGTTTTGTATTTGGACTATAGATGTACACATATATATATCTAGATATATATATATATATATATATGTATATATATTTGGTAGTAATATTTAGTACTGCTTATATACACGTTGATTGGATGCTCTCCAAGTTATGTAAATGTACTCACTTAGTTACTAATTAGGAAGGCACTTGACATTTGAAACAATAACGTCAACTTTAACAAAGAGAAACAACTAGAAATGACACAAACCGAAAACAATTTTACATAAACACATCCATATGGTACACATAGTAAGTGGTACACACAAATAGATCTGTAAATGGAAAACACACGAGTCTATGACTATTTCTTAAAATATTGTCTGCAGCAGCTCTCTACTGGCCTTCACATTCACACAGATTCATACATTCAGTCACACACGCCTAAATATATATACACATTTTGATAGTTCCTGCCTACCTTGGCACGCAGCAGCAATTCATTAGCCCGCTGGCCAGAAGCTTGCTGTGCTCCATAGGTACAGCTATTCGATGCCGGATATTAATTACGCTCATCCATTTGTAGCGCATTAATCCGAAATACACAGCACTGAATTATGCACACAACCGAAATCGCTCATACGACAAGTGGTACGACATGGCTGAGTTATGATGCCACCTACCGCTACAAGCCCTATTCGCTATGATAAGCCGCCCAATAAAGCATTTATGAGGCTCGTCGTTCAAAACAAAGCACACACACGCACACACGTTACAAAATATATCTCTCCTTCTCTCCCTCCTCTCGATGCTTTTGTCTTGTTGAACACACACCCCGCAGTCGCATTCTCATAGGTGCGGACAATTATGAAGATTCCTTTTGGTACGGAAATGGGAATATCATGAAATTTATGAGGGTGTGTGTGTACGCACACATACACACAGATACACATGAATAGAAGTATGAACATATTTGGAGCTCTGTTCCTGTGCCAGTACTCCGCGCGGACAACCCATTAGTTTTGCCTTTGCGAACGACTTTGGGCATTTTGTTGTTGCTTTCGCATCCTTGATATATGTGTTGCACGCTTGAGCCTGTTGGAGCTATGTATTCATGGCATTTGTGTGCTTATATTTATGCGTGCGTTTACATTATTGATAACATTAAATGAGCTTCACGCAATTTGTTTTCATTTGTATGGTTGAACCGCATAATTTAATGATGTCGATGCGGATGGCAATGCGGATGCCGATGCCGATGCCGATGCCAAAGCCAATGTCTGGCGTCTGTTTCTTGACTGCTCAACTGGAGCATCGTATGAGCAAATTCTAACTAATGTGTAATTAGGTTCCGTTGCCATGGCAATGACTGGGTAATTAAACATTGTGGGCAAAGCAATTAAAAAACAAAAATCAAATTGTGCCCAAAATATTTTCCCGTAGATATATGAAATATCACGTATGTGGCTTACATTTACTGATCCATTCACGCGCTCACATGGAGAGCTCTTTGCAGACAAACACTTAAATGCTTAACCTACAAATTACAGAAGCCTAAATTTTCTATATGATGACGCCTACTGTGTACTGACCTAGGACTGTGCAAGTATGCGTATGTGTCCGTTCCAGTCATTAGTAATTTACAGTTACAGTTACAGGAAGCTCGTCCATTTAAGTACAGTTATGCATACATATATTTTAAAAACAGATGCCAACCTTTGTTGTCCCGACTCTAAGAGCCATCTACTCCGTACACACCTGTTGTTGTTTCCGACTCTGAGAGGAGGGCTCTGGGCTTAGGTCATTCCCCTGTAGATTTGTATTGTCGTTTATGCTAGCAGCGGCCAAGGGTACTGTTGACCCATTGTCGACTTGTGGCTAGGGTCCGGATGCCGGCACATGAGCTGCGTCTGAATCGGAGCCAGTCAGGGACTCTGTCTGACCACCTGTCCCACTCTGTCTGGTATAGCTATGGACGTTTGGGGAGGTCACGTTGATGGCTGTGGTATATACGTGAGGCTCGCTGTCCGCAATGGTTGGTCATCCGTAATAGAATTGTGAGCTTACTGGTAAGCCAGTTGAAAGAGTACGTGGAGCTGTGCCATCATAGGATAGTTGCGGATGTAGCATAGCCGCCGTACCGGGTTTTGTGCGACGCAATGTTGATGTGCCACCGGCAGGCACATGACTTAATGTGGCCATGGCCAGGGGCGATGTAGTCGGTGTCTGTTGGGCTTGTGGATGTGACGGGGAGCCGCTGGCTAAAGAGGACGGCGGCGTCGGCGTGTTGGTCGGCCGCTGAACAACGCTCATGCCCTCCGTATTAATGATATACCCACCACGAATGGTGGGCGCCGTTGTGTACTGGGTCAGTGATGTAATAGGCACCATGGTATCTGCAAGTACACGCATCGAAAACTTGACGAACCGTGCCCCAACAAGCAAAGCCAACTAGCAGCGAGCTTAGACTAATGAAGATACTTACTTATGCCACTACTACCAGGCAAAGCTACGCCAGGTCCTTTTGCGCCAATTACAATAGCCGGTGCCAGAATGCCAGCCATAGGGGCTTGTGCTGAAGGTGCGCTGCCTGCGCTGCTTGTAGCTACATATGTGCTGGGCGCAATGCCTATGAGATCCGGTGACTGGCGGGCGCCTATTAGCATGGGATTGGGCATCAAAGCGGAGGCCGCGCAGGGTCCGCCAACTGTTGACAGTTGGCTGGGCGCTAGACTGGCATACAGGCTGCTGGCAGGCGCGTAAGTGATGTAGTTCTGCAGTGTTCAATGACAGATGACAGATGGCATTGACCACTGGTTAGCGATGAGTAATGTTACCCACCTCGTTCTTTGATACGCTGGGCAGTGGTATCGAAGTGGTAAGGTCAATGTCGGCGTCTATCTCGGAAATTGTGTCGTTAAAGCCGCTTGGAATAGTCGTTTCGTCGCCCAGGCCGCCACTAGTGCCCCCTTTGGTGGAGGAGTTGGAGTGGGTATCACTGGCCATTCGTCTCTTCTGCAGCAACAGCCGCGTGACCACAATCACAATGGAGAAGAGCACGCCGACCGAGCCGGCAATTAACAGATACAAATAGAGACGCTGCTGGTCATCTGTAAAGTTGGGAAATCTTTTGTATTAATAAAAAGAAAAATTCAAATTCGTCGAGTCAAGTTGAGCCAAGGATTTGCCTAAAAAGAGCAACATAAGTCCCAGCTCCATTTCATTTTCAAATTTCAGTTGAATTTAAAGCCGTCTTGTTTGTGAATAAGATTTGGCATTTGTAAAATGTTTGCGTGGTCCTTAGTGACATTGAGTCCCTGTGGGATTACGCCTACATTTCGAGACTGTTTTTCAAAAGGCCCCACCCAGACTTCACCTCTCAGCAGATCCGGTCTGTGGGATGGCTTGTGACTTGTATTTTCTATTATTGCCCAATGCAACCTAACATTCAGGTCAAGTCGGAGAGACTTACCCTCTAGACTTAAGTCGGCACTGTGTGTCATCACCGGATTGACGCCACTTCCATCCGCATCTGCGTCCAGTGAGCCGTTAGTTACAGTGTGAATGCCCTCTGGATTGGAGTTGGCAGCGGGTCCGACGCCGCCAGTTGCGTTGCCTCTCGCTGTTTTTGTGATATTACTGTATAGTTTGGGTATGGCCTCCGACTCCTTGTAGATGAGCTCATCGTCGTACAGGTCGTTGATGTCGCCCTCAAAGTCCTCCGTTTCGTCAGCCTCCACCTCGGACTCGTTGCTCTCCTTTAACACTTGCTTCGGCACTGTGGAACAAAGACATAGAGCAGCCAAACGAGCAACATAAATCATGCGGCCAAGTCACCGGTAACGGAGGGTCGGACGCACCAAGCACCAGGCATCAATCTTGCGTCCCGACGCGCGATACGATGCGATGCGTAGGGATGGGAGGCGAAGCTACGCTACGCGATGCGATGTGATGCGCCAACAAAGGCGCGCCCTAAATCATTCTGAGTGGCAGAAGCAAACGCCCCTTGATTTTTCCCACGACCTACTTACCGCATGTGTAAACAACCTTCAGATACATTCGCGAGTTTTTCTGGCACGGAGTCCCAAAGGTATTCGCATCAGCGGCCAGGTTGCACCGCCTTCGTCCATGGCAAATTTGCATCACAGTCTCCGTGGCGAATGAGGCAAGGCATGCTATTAAAGGCCAGAGATAGAAAAAGTAGTTAGAGCACGGGCGGGCCAAGGATCACGCTGTCTTGATTGATGCAATCCACAACTCAAACGCAGGTTGGTCACCATCTCCATAATACTCACTCTCCTCACGGACCCCTTGCGGCTGGGGACACTGAATGCTCTCATATTCTGTGCGTCCAAAGCTGGCACTGTAAACGGCAATGCGCGAGTACGGGTTGCATTCCAGTTGTGCGACATCGTTGTGGCAGGCCACCTTGCTGCGGAATTCATCTGCAAAGCGAAAAGGCATCAGCCAACAGGCTCCGCTCTATCTATGAAGCTTTACATATAATTTTATTTAATCAGATGAGTTCATTGCTTTTCTTTTATCTAAGCCACTGCGTCTGCCCCAGGAGCTGCGTATCCAATTGTCATAATAATACGCTGCTGATTGAGATAATCAATGACTCAGAACTTTGTTATTGAAAGTCACGAGCTCAGACAGTTCCTGCTGTGCTGCCATGCCTCATTATGGTAGCCTCAGCATCGACTACAATGCTGAATTCCAAATGTATACATGTACATATTCGATAATGGGGCATAGCATTTGTTGAAATTTGAAGCTCGCCAGCGAGCTGCCCCTCCTTATGTACTGGGGCCATGCGCCAAACACGGCGCGGAAACTTAATTTTGTATCGTCGATGTTTTTCAAGTTATACAAAGCACGTGCAAATGCGATTGGACTGGTACTGCCACAAGGCAATGCCGCTGTTGGCAGAGTTACTACCGGTTCGACACGCTTCCTTGCCCCTCGGCAGCTGGACACGCCTTGGGAAGGCGAAGCCCGCCAACTGCTGTTTAGTGCTAGTCAATACCCGCCCGTGTGCCATTGCTTCCATTCCACCTGACTGAATTTTTGGAACGCACAACAGCTCGGTAAACTGGCTGTCTGGATGGTAGAGCCCCAATCCCGTCCCCATAGTCGTCTCCATGTTCGGGTCCGTGTCCGTGTCCGTGTTTGTGTTTGTGTCCGTGTCCAAGTCTATGCCTTTGCCTGTAATAGTATTTGTTTGGCAAAACATCGGCACTGTGTGCTTTCGGGTCATGCCCTAGGACGAGGACCTTTTTGCTGCACACACACACACGGCCGTGTCCAGTCCCTGCCCAATCGAAAAACTAAAGTCCGGATGCAGCCAACTCTCGAACTCTCGTTCAACTCATTCGGCTGGACGTTTATGTGTCGATTCCGGGAGTCGAGATTGTTCAGCTCAGTTTGCCCCGTTGTTATGCTTTTACTGCTGTACTGCTGTACAGTGCGGAATTTGTTAGCCATTTTACGTGTGCCATTGTACGCCCAATAAATTCAACCAAATTAAACAAAATTTGCGCTGCAGCTGCTGACTGACTTACATGGGCGACATTTGTAGGCGATCTCGACGATTTTCCTGCGCTTGGGGCAGGGGTCGCTGCTGATTGCATTGGAGCTGGCCGTGCTGCTGTGATAGCTGCTGGTGCCGGATGAATCGCCCACTCCACTGGCGCCCAATCCGTAGAACTGCGGGGAGCCGTGGAACTTGCAGTGCTTCTTCTTCTGGCAGGCTTCCACAACATTCTGCAGCAGCGAGTACTGTGAGCAGAGAACAAAGGTGGGAGAGAACAGAACGAAAAATCAGTTGCAATTTAGTTTTCCAATTTGATTTCCTCTTCCATTTTTTATTTTTCTTTCGTTTTTCCTACTTGTCGCATTGGTGTGCAAACAGAAGAAGCTGAAAAGTGAACGAGCTCAGGAATTGGGCGGAAATTGTAAACTTTTACAAATTGAAATAAAATATTTGCATTAAATATGTAATTGAAGTGTTTCCACTTCTGTTTGCCTTTTTAGTTTCCTAAATATCATGATGTTATGATAGAAGTCGCTAAGAGGCTGTGCCATGCACAGCAGAGACCCACTCAACTGATGCAATATATCTAAAGTGTTCTTACTTTTCTAGTCTCTTTGAAAACAAGACGAGCTATTGCGATTTCAATGAACAGCCCTGTCTCCACATGGACTTCTGTTATGTGTGATTCCACGTCGGATAAAAGATAGCGAAACATTGTTGATCCATTTGTTATGCCCATTATATGCAAACAAGTTGTTGTCCATCATCTGCATGGCATCTATTCAATCAACAGCTGCATTGTCTCTTGACTATTAGCAATTTTTTCATCGTTCTATTTAGAGTTACAGCCGGCTGACAAGCACGTCCAGTGCCCAGGCCAGCACAAAAAATGGCCACGTCTGGCTGCGTATATCGCACAAATGCTGCCTGGTAATCCGTAGCGTGAATGTAAACTGTTTATTTTCAAGTTATTTTTCACTATCTTGTGTTGACAGCGCCGAGAGGATGATGAGCATGGGCGGACAGGCGGACAGACGGACAAGGGGACAGGCGAATAGATGGGGCCTACTACAGCAGACTGACAGCAGGTTTAGATTTGCTTGGCAGCGTCAGCCGTTGGACGAGTCGTCACAAAATTTAATAACAACGGCAGCGACAGTGACAACACCCTGAGGACCGACAGCGGATGCGAGAGAGAGAGAGAGAGCAAAAGAGATAGAGAGACAGAGAGACAGGGAGGGAGATACTAAAACAACGAGCGATGAACAACAAAAACAGCTCTGTGAACAATGGCTGGAAAATGGAGACAAAAACGATGCGAGAAATTATTTGCTGCGGTAGCCATTTTTAGCGCCATGTTGGCGCTGCTTAGCAGAAAGTTTTGGGTTTGCTGGTCGACCCGGCCCAGCCTAATGATGCCCCATGGGACGCGAAGGCATCTTGGCTAGCACAGCGGGTTGGCCGACGGGCCAGACAGCGCATTGACTTTGCCTGACACACAAAGGCAACTTTTGGCCTTCGTCAATGTTTTTCGTAGCATTTCTCAGCGGTTCGCATGCTATTCATTTGGGGCCCTACATGTAGCTCCTACTGTCAGATTGAGGAGAACATTAAAAACGAAATCAAATGAAATGAAATGAAATGAATCCAACTGTCTCGTATTGTTTTCTATGTTCTTGAATTTGCTTCAAATTTAAATTCATTTTGGGTTCAAAGGATGCCTTCAGATGTTGGGGAAGCCAACTGAATTGCTTAATGAATTGGAAGCGTTATTCGGAATGCGGACAAACGAATTTTCTTATCCCTTTTTTAAAAACAAGCAAGTGGAATTTAAAACGACATTCACTTAACCGTTAAACGTTAGCTACAACAGACCCAAATGAATTTTGGCATGGCAAACAATTTCATAGAAAGCAGCTCAAGTGCTCTCGACTAAACGATATTCTTTGAATTACTAACTCAAGTCATGGTATTAAATATATTAGTCTTCAACGCTTACAATTTAAGCCCACTTAAACAGTCATTTTCCGTTTTCAATAGACAATTTGCTATTGTCTTCTAGAGCGCTTTAATTGTTGCCATGCCATGTCATGTTGGAATTGACTTCTCTCAGAAATGGATGTTTATTGGCATTGTCCGCACTCACCTGAAGAGCATTGGGCCACATGCAGTTTTCAGAAGAGCTTTCGACCTTTTGAGCATCGTCCGTTGAAGATTCGGTAATGGGTCCGTTCGGTCCAGTGGTGCTACTTGGAACTTCCATGGCAATGGCGTAGCCGTTGTTTACATAGCGATTCGCGGGCACTTTTTGTGTGCTGGATCCAAAGATAGAGCCACGCAGCAAATGCTTGGCTTTGCCACGTATCTCGGGCTTCACGGTGCCGGTGACGGGGCACAACTCCTCAATGCTGTAGCCATCTGAACAAGTGGAGGCAAAATAAAGCACGAAATGGCGGCCGACGTGTTAAGAATAAATGACTCGGAGATGGCCCTCCGGGGGCCCCGAGAGTGAAGCGCACACTTACCTTTCGCCACGAACTTGTTGTACTGGGCAAATTCAATTGAAATGCTGGTGCCGCGCGGGCACGCAATTACCACCTGATCCGTATCACAGGCCGCCTTCTGATATGTGCGCAGTGTGGCCGATAAAAGAGCTGTTGGCAGTACGTGGTGTGCAGAGCAGTTGTTAAAACAGCAACATTTCCATTGCCATTAAGCGAGACACATAAAAAACAGGAGAAGAAAAATTGCATTAAAATAATTGATTACCTATATAATTAATTAAAATTTAATTAATCTATTATATATTTCATTACGCGCCGATATTCAATTAAATTAAGTCAACTCGCTTTAAGCTGATCGTAGAATGCAATTTATGACATTATTCCACAAAGAGTTCCTGCCGCTGGGCTCGGTCCATATTAAGTAGCTGACTAAATTAAAACAGACAGCGAGGCGGGTTCCACAGGAAGTTAACTGGAGTCCATGCTGTGAAGAAACACCTGAGCTAACAGCAGTCGGCACTGAAGTCCTGACACTGGCAAAGCCAAACAGCTCAAGCAGGAGCCAAAAGCCTTCAAGTAGCTGAAGCAATTTCCTAGGCGTGGCGAGCGCTTGGTGTTAAAATGCGTTTCCGCACTTCAAGCGAGGCGCCAAGTGCACATTTTTAGCGCGCCAGAATTCCTTCGCTTCCTCTAGGGAGTTGCATGCCAAATTAAACAAAATTCTTGGTAAATATTTTGCTTGCTTCGCTTCTGTTGTTTATGCCTTTGCCCAAAGCAGCAAGTGTCTTGAAGACGCAGTAATGCTGATGTCTAGATATACATGTGGTTCATAAGCTGCTTATATATATATATAAGTATATATATACTTGATGTAGGTCATGTATATGGCGCTGGGCTTTCAATTAGTTTGCTGCAATAAATCAATTTCCGACAATTTGCCATAATGTTTCAAATGCCTAAATGAAATCGACAATTTGTCAGCTGAGCAATTTAAATACCGAAACTTTAGTATATATAGATCCATTTATATATATATATGTATTTAGTTGAAGGGGGCGTTGTCTGGTTGCGTCTCGGACATGGAATATAATTTAGCCGTTACCGTTCATTTCTCGCCGGGGCATTTCAGCTCTAATGAGTTTGGGGTGCTGCGCGTGCGAATTGGTTTTGTTTTTGATGACTGCCCTTGGCAGGGGCGTGACAGCCAGCACAAGGATGCCAAAGACACTGAGATTGAGGATATTGCAGCCCAATGCGGATTGCCGACCAGCCAACTACCAACAGCCCACTGCCCACTGCCGACTGATTTATATTGCAAGCCATAAATTATATTTAAATGGCGCGTTTTCGCTTCTGGCAACATGAGCCCAGCGTACCGCAGCTTGTAATTATTTCTAGATAGAGTATATAGGGTCTACAAATATATATATATATAGTAAATACGTTGACTGGCCCTTGACCAAATAGCCAAATGGCAGGGCACCGCCCCGTGACAATAAATTTCGTGTCCCTAGTCTGACCGCCCAATCGCCTATCGCACGGATGCAAGTGGGCCACATTAGTAGGGCAGATAGATAGATAGGCCAGTTAGTTGAATTGAGAGTTCTTTTTCGCTCGACTCTGGTTTGAGCTCAATCTTTCATATGTAAACCGAATTTAATAATTTAATACTTTAGATTATTCGCAAGCGCATTGCTATTGGAATCGCCCACAGCACTCGCTGTTCATATCTCTGATATTGTACACTTGTGCCAGCTGGCGGTACATTAATTTAATTGTTATGGCTTTACAGCTGGTGTTCTGGTCTAGGGGAAACTTGCAAATGGTTCCGCTAGTCCTTGACTCAATGTGTTGGCCGTTGCCGACCGGAAGCGAAAGTCTCTGAAGTTTTTATTGTTGCCATTTGACTTCGGCAATCGAATCACTTTGGCATGGAGCGAATCCGAATAAAAGTTCGCTTTGCGCTCGGCCATAAAATCCTGCCTCCCCTTCACAAAACCACGGCCAGCAAAGCTGAAAAGTTTACCTTTTAAAGTGAAAGTCTGTTCAGCGGGTTGCTTAAATTGAAAATGCAATAATAAAAGCAAAAAACAAAGGTCCCTTTGACCTTGCGGTATGCCCCCAGAACAGTCATTCAATATGGATATACATATATATAAACTCTATACATATATATAATATATATTGTATACTCCGGTCTCCATTTGCCGACCAGTAGTTGCTGGATGATGGCGCATTTTTTGGGAAACTTTTTATTTGATTCGAAATTGAAAGCGCTCCAGACAGATGCCCGTAGCTGAGGCGGCGCTCTTAAAGCCCGACCGACGTTTTACGAGCCACCCGGACGGCGTGAAGTGACGGAAAACTGTCGGCCATGAAATTTGCTCCAACTCCCAAGCAACTCGGTCGAAATTTGTATGCGGGCGTGTAACGTATGTGTGTGTAGCTGAGCGCCTCTTTTCCACATGTGAACCGCATCGTTTTACAAACTTATGAATAATTTAAATATATATATGTGTATATGGCCTACCCTCTCAATCCCAGCAGTTCCATCCTGCAAGCGGAGCGCTTGCTTCAAAGAAGATAAAGATTGAATATTTATATATGTGCCTCATATATGTATGAGATTATGTCGGCACATTGATTCTAATGTACTCTGCAGTCTTTTTTAAAGCAAATGCAGCAGCCAGCAGCATTTTTTGTTTTACCTTATCATGAGGAGCCTAAAACAATCTGTGCTTAGTTGTTCAGTGTGCCTCATCGACTAATGTATTATTGACAGAGCCAACTGGGTCGTCGACCATTTGGCCTACATACGACATCAAGTGAAAAATGAAAAATAAAAAAAAAGGTAAAAGTAAATACTTTTGGTCTCTTGTGACTAATGATGCTAGGCCCGAACTATTTTTTATAGAAAGGACACACAATTTACCCTTGTACCAGAAAGTGCAATAAAAAATTTAGTAGAGACTTAACTTTGATTTATAGAGCATTATATATACATATATACATTATATATAGTTCGCGTAGCTTCACTTTAGTAAATACTATTTGGCCAAAATGCAGCTGATTTGCTCTAAAGTTGTTTCTTTTCTGCTGTTCACTGAGTTGAGCTGCTGAATTGGAAACTCTTTTCTTTAGGGACTTTTCGTCTTCTGAGCTGGCAGAACAAATGATGCTCAGTAATTCTCAAAGCATATTTACTATGCAATGATTGATTCTGATGCTGCGCTGAACATTTCAGCACAAATTTACCGATCCAGCTTGCGCTGAGATGGGATATTTATGGGATATATATGTGTGATTGTGCAACGCCTTGCATGTGTGTGGGTGCATAGACAATTTATTTTAGATTCGACAATTCCCAAATATCAGTGAAGCTGCTTGTGCGACGTCAGCCATCAGACATCAGGCATCAAGCATCAGGCATCAGGCATTCCGTTAGCCCCTCTTTAGTTGTCTCGACTATTTGCTGTGCGCTGCCTGAATCCATTCTCCCTGGACTGGCAATGTCAACAGCCAAGTCGCTGCTTTGGGACAGCCAAAGCGCGATTGAATGGCTGCGAAGCCGGCGGGATTCGATGTGGAACGCAAAAAAAAAAGACAAAAAGCAAGCAACTGTCATCGGGAGTTGCCGAGTCAATGGGGCAGAAGAAATTGATTTGTTTTGATTTATTCCCATGTACTTGGAAGCTTCAGCGTGGGCTCCCGGTTCGAGCTCGTGCTCATCTGTCCGGGTCTGGCAGTAGCTGGCTTTGATGTTGCCGCTGTCCTGTTTTCCTCCTTCTGATGCTCATGCAAAAATTGTGTTGATTTCCTTCTTTGGGCCTGAGTCTGTGTCGTCCCGCTCGCCTTGTAACTTCCATATTTTATTGTCCCATTCGACTTGCTTAATAAATGGGAATGTGCCACAGCCAACGCTGTCGAACAAAGCCCCGGGGCCGTATCGGGATTGCGACATTCTTGTCCTGCGGTCCCGAACCAATAAAACTTGATATGTATCTGTTATGGCTGGCGCCCAGTCAATTCTGTGTGCTGTGCAAATAAATCTAATTAAATGAAATTTAATATTGCTCATCCATATTTGGAGAGGCCCAATAAGGTCGATTGCGAAACAGTTTCGGGCCATCAGAGCCCAAATGAGTGCAATAATAAAATCCATTTCAAGCTCTGCGCATTGAATAAGCTAAATATTATCCCAGAGTTCTCTAATGCAATGATTTTCACTTTCCGCTGACTATAAAATAACGCTAAGACCAAATTTGATGCTTGTTAATTCATAGCTCAGCGGAAGTAAGTCGTTCATTAAAGAATTGTGCAGGAAACCGGGAACGAACACAACGAAAATAAAGAGGAACACAGACAAAAGTGAGAATGGATAAAAGTAAATTGTGAAATGTAGACATAATATTTTCCCTTTTCGCTGACGCTGGCATTGTTTTCAGCTCGGGTTTTGTAGTGGACCCCGGTCTAATCCTGAGGAAACAAAAGTTTATGACATTTTACGAGCTTTTTTAATACTTTGCGAAAACTTTGCACATCTCCATCCGTCCGCCGCTTATCCATCTTTAAGCTCTGCAGCGCGCCGGAAACAAAAACAAAATTTATGAACCTGTTTTGTCATATATGGATGGCTGAGCTGAAAGCCGTGCCATGTGCGGCTGGACAGCTGGACAGCCGAACAGCATGGAAGCCATGAGGGAAATTACGTATACATACATAAATGATACACACATACTCACCTATAAATATGTATGTCTGTATGTATGTATGTACATGCTTACTTAACTCACTTTTGACATTCTTGTCAACCCGAAATCTGTCGGAATACAACAGATTGCACTCACGGCATGAGCAGAGCGCGTGCTTTGTGGACGCACTGCATCAAGTTATAAAGTAAATTTATATAAAAAACATTCTTCTACTCTGTTTTTTTTTTTCGTACACAGCGACAAGTGACGTGGGGGGTCTAAAATTTCCCGGAACAGACATTACTTTGCGTAATTGAGAGCATAAATTTGATGAGCTCGCGCTGAGAGTTTTGCTTTATCTGTTGGGCAATGAAATATTTGCTCATACGACGCATTTGTATGCACATTAGATAAAGCCGGCCGCCTCGAATGGAATTACCTTCGTAGAGCCAGCACTTTTAAGTCGGCGAGTGGCCCCAAGTACACAGCAAGACAGCCAGAATCTAGAGGACTTGCACAGAGCATGTGCACGCCGCGAGAATTTACATTCAGTTGGCATGTGCTTACGCAGTATGTAAATGAATAGATTTAAGGACCTTGGGGAAATGACAGTTATATTTGTGGCATGCAGGAGGGAGCGGCAAGCAGGACAGCCAGGACCGGATATGGCGACATGTTTTCCTTATCCCAGAGTTGTTTCGCATTTGTGAAATTTTATTAACATACTTAACAGCATAATATGTGAGAGAGTGTTTGTGTGTGTGTGTGTGTGGGAGTGGGTCTGTATGGGTAATGAGATGCCATTCGCTGCTCTAATTCAGCAGTTCGCTCACGTTATCCTTATCCAATTTACTTGTTGTATCAATGATAAGTTGGCAAATCGCATAAGGCTACTTAATTAACATATGATTTGATTTGACTGGAGTCAGATGCCGCTTACCCAAGGGATCGATGCGAAATATTATTTCGCCTTCGGCGCTGGCCGCACTCAGGGCGCACAGAAAGGATAGCATTAAACACTTGGCCTGCGTATAATCCATTATCCTGCGAGCTGAGCCTGGGCTCCAGTTGCCGCCGGGCTGGCTGGGCTTGGCTTGGCTTGGCTTTGGCTGCTATGCGACTGGCGTTAACCGGCATCCACTTCCGGCATTACACACGCTCCTGCCTCTTGGCCAGGCTGCACACACACGAATTGCCGCACTGCTGTTGTGGCGCTGCACGTATCGAGTTTTGCATGGACTTTTCTTTGCGTTTAAGCCAATCGGCAGTTCCACAAATTTGTTTTATTGATTTTCTGTTAGTTGTTTTTCTGCTCTTGCTTTTTTGTTATGTGTTTTTTTGGATTTCGTTGAGCGTTTTGCACTAGGGGACAGTTGAATTCGATTTGCACTGCCGCCGGCGTTATCCTGTTTGCTCTTCTTCTTTACTGTTGAGGGTTTTCGTTTGGATGCGTCCTTTCGTCTGATTTGTTGGCACTTTGTTTTCACATTTGTTGCTTGCGTTGCAGGAAGTGCGCGAATTTCACAATTTCTCTGCTGCTGGGCCACAAAAAACGATTTCGCATTTATTATCAATTCAGAGCGAGAAGCGCTCACAGCCACCAAATGTCGATCAATAAAATGCACACAGAGCCAGCCAGCCAGCGAGATTGCCAAGTGTGTAATCAAATTGAATGTGCTGAACCACTCAACCACCCGAATAACCACTGCCAGCGGCAACGATCCTGCAGGAGGACTACAACTATGCACTTGCCACTTCTCCAGTGACAACACAATATGGCCCCGCCCACACAACTCGCGACACTATGCTGCACATCAAAATGTGACTGTGACAGTTTGTGTGTGTGTGTGTGCGTGAGTGTGTGTCGCTTATACATATGCAAATCTGTGTCAACAAAGAAAAAAATCGAATCCTCAATTGTCACGCGGCTGCTGGCGGCGTTAACTGCACTTTTTCGCATTAAAATTTCATTTCGTTCCTTTGGAGCTCACAATTTGCCGCTGGGTCAACTCCGTGAAACAAAAGCCACATTGATTGCCTGCCACCACCCGCGCAGCCTGTCGCCCCGGCAACCATATGCCAATCGCAGTGACATTAACGGATCGCTTAAAAACAGTTTTCCGCGCGCTCCACAATTACAAAGCACCACTTGGCCAGCGTAATCCGATTGCTGGCCACGTGTCGCCTGTCCAGCTAGCATATCACTTGTGGCCCATCCATCAAGCGGCGCATTTGCCTTCAATGGCTGGCAATTGTGCTGCGTGCGGCACTTTAATACAAATAGTTTACTTTGACAAGCAAAGCGAATTGTCAGCCGAACAGGGAACGATTTGCCAACAAGCTTAGCTTGAGAATTCCAATTTGAATTTGACTAAAATTCATTCGAGCTTAATAAATGTCTGTCAAGTGTGTCACAAGCTCGACGCCTCATTACCCCCTAACGCCTGCTGCTAAGTATTTGCAATTAAAATTGTCACACACACACACAGACTTACACAAGCTAAGTTGATAAGCAAATACTGTTAACTGTCGCTTGCTTTTCATTAGGCAACTGTTTCAAGGACACATTTTAAGGATGCGCGCAACTACAAGCAGCAAATTGTAAACATAATCAATTTTCAACAATTCTAAAAGGGTTTCTAATAACAACAGAAACAGGCACACACACACGCGCACACATACACACACACTGGCTTGCATGTTTATGTCATATACACTCATTAGGGAACGACATTTAGTTGACGATACGACAGCTTGCCGGAAGGCTGTAGCAATTACGACTCGGACCCGTCTGCAGCCTTGGCAACTGACAAAGTGTTGGCAGCAAATCAGAATTCTTGACTGGCAATAGATGATTGGATGGATGGGCAGCAACTGTTTTTGGCATTTCTTATATATTCAGTGATTCAATTATCATATTTAGACAGAAGCCATGTGGAGGCATGGGCCAGCAGTTGCAACTTGCTGCGTACTCGACATTTGATTAATGATGCGAGCCGAAGCCAAAGTTTTTCTGCTCCACTTCAAAGTTGCTGTGCGTGCCAAAGTGTGTGTGTGTGTGTGTGTGTGTGTGTGTGTGAGTGTGGGTGCACACAGACACGTTCGCATTACACATGTCTGTATCTGTGTCACAATTTCTCCACTGTCATTTAGCACAATAGGAAATGAGGCCGTGGCGGGACTGTGGTCCGTGGCCCAGTGGTCGCAGAAATGGCTTTATTTCAGCTAAAACGGGCGACAAAATTGAAATAAAGCTACACACACACACATGTCCAGAGACAGAGACAGAGCTGGAGATAGAGACGGGGACAGGCACTGTTAGGGACTGAGGCATGTCACGTGGGAGTCGACTTGCTAACCAGGCTGGGAGCTAGGCGCACCGGCTTAACGCTTGCTAATCATGGGGCCAAGTGCGGAAGCTGACAATTTCTTGTTAATCTCGCATATTTGAGCCATTATTTTTGTCCGCTGTGGGTGGACTTTTAGCTGCCTGCTGGTTGGTGGTTGGTGGTTGCTGGTGCGCCCTGTGTGCATTTTAAGTGCTTCGCCTCGCTGAGTTTTGAGCATTCTTTTTGCTCCTGCTGCTGCCTTTTTTGTATATTTTTTCATTTTAATGCTCATTTAAATTTTTTCAGCTGGCCGCAAAATGCGAAACACACGCGCACTCAAAGGAATAGCTCACATTTGGCCACGTTAAAAGCACGTGCAAATTTTGGCTTCTGCCACGAGGATGCGCACGCCACGCCTACCGCCTACCGCCTAACGCCTGCCCCTATTACCGTGGGCGACGTAACCGAGACGTAGCTGAAGACAGGCACGGACTATGGCAGCTCTGGCTCAGTCACTGTAGCAGAATTCACGCGCGAAACACGTCCGCTTGATTTGACTGTCGGCGAAGAACTGACAACGAATCGGCATCGTGGCCCCATCGGCATGCAGAGTGCACGAAGCCCAACGAGCAGCTTCGCCTCCGACGGGCAGGACCCGAGCGAAGGCCTGAGGGAAATACTCTCTTTGAGGCAGGTCACTTCGCCGAAGACAACATGCACAGCATTCGAAGAGAGTGCCGCACTAGACTATAACGATGGTCATAGTCAGTGCGACTGACGAACTACGCTATCTAGGTCAGTGTGCCCTTACCCACTCACACACTCACCCCACGCCCAGCTGGCCTGTGTGTGCCAAGAGCCGCGCCGCCAAGAGTTTTTGGTCTGCGAGCGCCGCATTTAATCGAATGTAACGTTTACAGTCAACTTAACACATTGATTTAGCCTATCGTAGGTAAATTAGTGGCCAACTGCCAGGCTGCTTCTCTCTAAATCGTTTTGCACCCATGTAAGCGTATGAGTGTGTGTGTTAAGCTACCTACGGCTGTGTTATGGTTCTGCGTGCGGCTAGGTGATTATGCTTACCGCTCAGTTTGGCCTCATAATTCGCTACTGAATCGCTTTTATCACTTGCACCAGATACACAGACACACACGCACACACACACGTGATAATGTATGTCTATATATAACTGTGAATGCGTGCGCGTGTAGCTTCTGATTGGACAAGGACACGTCAAGGCGAGACGTAACGACTTGTTGCTGGCGCTTTTATCATGCGAAGGCGAAGGTTTGCCAATGGATATATATATGTGTCTGTGTGTGTGTGTGTGTGTGTGTGTGTAAGTGCATTCACATAGACTTAAATGCCTTAAAAGTATTATGCTGCGGTTGAGTCGTGCGTTAAGCACTGCAAAGGTAAGGCTTAAGGCGTTTGCATGCAAATGCTTTTGCCTGGGTAAACAGCAGTCGATTGTTAAATAAGTATTCAATTTAATTAAACTATATGCCTCTGAATATCTTTTGTTATTTATTATCATTGCTCTCTCTCTCTCTCTCACACACTTAACATATGATTTAGAATATTTTAAGCACTTCTAAAAGACTTTTGATTTACTGCCGCAATCGATGCCTTGAGCTGGTTCAACTAATTTCAGCTTTTCGTACTCGATAAGCCACGATTAACACAGTATCATTTAGCAGGCTTAAGTGTTTAAGTATTTTTCATTATTCTTAAGCTGGCTTAAATGCTTTATGATTTTTGCCATTCATCGTCATCCAAACACTTTTCTCCCTTGCCAAACTTTGCTCACTTCGGCTGCAGCCCCGAATTTGCATATTTCCACTTGAATTAAATCAATATTTATATTAAGTGCAAGTTTATTTTGTCATTTAACCCTGGTTAGGCAAAGTTCTTATTTGCTCAAAGAAGGAGATTTAGGCTCGCTTGCTGCAGTGGCCAAAAGGCAAACAATCGTTAACAAATAGGTGTTTGGTTAATATTATTTGTTATTTTTGGCATATAAATAGACATAGTAGTGTGCGTGTGTGTGTGTCAACATTTAGCGCCTCACCTAACTAATTTATTGGGCCAATAAACATTGACCAAATTAGCAACGGCATTTTCTGTTTGCCTTTGCGGCTCTGCATACCAATGAATTATTTACCTTTGCAGCAACTACTATTAAATATTAAATCTGGCATAAAAAATATTTGCAATATGAAAAAATAGAACTAAGCACAAATATAGTTGGCTGGAGACATATTCAAAGAGTGGCAACAGTTGCGAAATGAATTTTGTTGCTTGCCTTTGGCTCTCTCTACTTAAGATGAAAATGGAAATGAAAAGGAAAATAAAAAGGAAAATGCAGTTGAATAAAGCTTGCTCATTTTATAATATTTTGTTTTGATGGATCGCTCGCTTTGCAGCGCAGGAGACCGCCGTAGATATCCTTTGTTCGTGCTTTGTGTGCAGCTCTTTTGACAGCCATTTCATGTCCCCTAGACAAATGCAGCAGCAGCAACAGCAGCAGCAACATATAAACACAACTTTAGTTGTGACTGCCGTTGCAGCAACGAGGCGACTTTTCCCGGAAGAACCCTGCGAAATTTGATGTTTTAAGTACCCTCAATAAATTACAAAAGTCACTTCTACAGACTGCAATTTATGTTGCAGTGCAGCCAAGGAGCTTGTCATAAGTCGCATCTGCTGCAGTCCACTTCAATTGCGCAGTCTAACTGATCTAGCCCTTAAGTGAAAGCTTTAGCTGCAATAGATACATTCTATATCCAGTTGTTCTCTTGCACGTGGCCAGTCTGAGTTCGCTTTCAGAATTGTGCAGCTTCTCAATGCCCTTTCTCTTTCCCTTCCACTTATTCTTTTCTGCCTCTTCTCATTCTTGTTTCTATCGGCTACTATAATTTCTCTGTGTATCTCTTTCATTTTCTCAATTTATATTTTTCTTTCTGTCTCTTCTTCTTCTGCTTTTCTTCTATTTCTTTCTCATTTTTTGACTCGTTCTCGGCCTCATTTTATACTTATCATTTGCTCTTTTCTATTCCGTTTTCCCTGTCTCTTTGTCTCTCTCTCTCCCCCTCTCTCTCTCTATCCCTATATCTATCTATCTCTTTTAGTCACCCCCTCTCTCTGTCTCCTTTCTATCTCAATGATTCTCTCTCTCTGTCTCTCTCATAAGAGTTCTCACTCACGCTCTCTCTCTCTAGTTTTCTCACCCATATCTGTCTTTTTCTGTCTATTTTCTCGTACTCTATCTCTCTCCATCACTCTCATTTTCTCACTTACTCACTTTCTCTCTCTAACTCATTTACTGAAACTCCGTCGCTGTCTTACTAATCCCCTCCTTCTCTCTCTCGCTCTGCCCCACTCTCACTCTCCCACTTATACATTCTCTCTCTTGCTATCTCTCTCTCATTCAAACTCATTGACGCAAATTCCCCTTCTCTCTCTCTTACTAACCCTCTGCTCTTCCCTCTCTCTCTTCATCTCTCTCACTCTCTCACTTATTCTCCCCCTCTCTCTCCTCTGTCTGTCTCCTCTCTCTCTCTCTCTCTCTCTCTCTCTTTCTCTGCCCCACTTTGCCTGTTATTAACGTTTATTCTTCTTTGTCATGGTCTTAGCAGCCAAAAGACAAGGTCATCAATTTCAACTAAAATTAGAACTGGCCTCAGATGAGGCGACAATCGAAAGCACTGTCTAGACTTCGTAAGCCGCACACTCGCCATTCACACAGTTCAGTAGGCGTGTTAGAAGAGGTCGCCATGGCGATGATAGACCGAAAGTTAGTTAGCCCCGATTCTCTAGGCGCAGTGCCTAGTAGTTCCAGCTGGGAGATCTGCAGCTCTGTAGAATGTAAAATTATAATTCAGCATCGACCGCATTTGGTGGCATCCCATGCCAAACTGTCTGGCTCAAAGATATTGTTAATTTTCTACACGTGCTGCCAAAGTGGACTTTGTATGGGGCCTCGTGCATTAGCATTCGAGTGGGGCTGGCTTATGAGCCATGAGAGATGAGCTGGCTGCAAGGCTACAGCTGAAATCGCTTAGGAATGCGCTGCGGCCGACCGCAGATACAGAGGTGTCCTTGCAACTGGCAACTGGCAACTGGCACGCATATTTAAGCCCTCGACCCAGGCAGGTGGTTGCCATTGAGTTGGCCGTCTAACTCAGATTATCTGAATGATGCACAGCCAGCGGCTGCCACTCGAAATGCTCGCTGCCTTTCATTACGCCTACATTAGGCGTTAGCAGCACAAATCTGGCGTTGTCTCTCGCTTAGCCGCAGGTCGCTTGTTGCCAGCCTTCAATTCCCATCTAATTAAGCCGCAAAGCTGCTCCTTTTCCGTATTTCAGCAGCAACAGCTCAGAAATGGGAGATATTTTTTAACTTTTTAAAATATCAATTTAAAAATAATATTTAGTCTTAAGTAATAAATGACAGTGTTGAAAAATAAAATGATATATTAGTGTTGAAAAAGTTACAAAGTAATGCAGTTGACTATACATAGAATCCACGTCCTAAGTCTAATGACTTGCAAAATAACATTGCCCAAACTACTGCTTGTGCCAAGAATAACAGCTGTAAACTTTCGTGTGGAGTAAGCTGAACGAGACGGTTGTTGAAATGAATAATTTCAGTTATACGAACTGGTATACAATAGTGGGAAGAGTTTATATATTAAGCTACTATAAAAAAATTGTAATACAGTTCTAACACAGAATTCATATGCATATAACACATAGAACATATCTAGTGTGTACTCGCTAAATGTTATATTTGCAAACTGGTATATCTCATATAACGTTGCAGTATATGCGAGTGCGGTAGTATAGAGAGGTTGCAGCACATGCTAAGGTAATAAGAGACTTGGCTGTTATATATGCCACAAACGTAGAAAAGAAGTTAAGCCTTTGTTATACATGTTCTAAATTGTTGTTATACAGTATGTAGGTAATTGTTATACGTTATAGTTACTATAACAGCTCTAAATTAATGTTATACAAGCTGTAGCAGCAATGCGTCATTAGTTGGTTTCAAAACCAAATGAAGTTATAAAGTCTTATATCTTATATTGTTAACAGAGTCGTTTTACAGCAAAAAAAATAGAGTCGTTCAGTTTAAAGCAGTGGAAAATTGTCCCAAACATAAAGCAAGCAGTTGAGTTTAAAGACCCAGAGATTTAAAAATGGAGATTATTACATTTTTTAATTCCTTTTTTTGTAAGTAACGCAATCTGCGTTAAATTCAGGAAACGTCGAAAGTAAACTTATTCGCGCCTCGCAGTGGGGGGAATTATGGTAAGGATTTATTGTTGCAGTTACCGGGTGACTTATTTACCTACATACGAACTGTTGGGGTAGACCGCCTCAGGGATAATGCCCATAAAGTGAGGCATCCATCCAGACTGCTTTCGGCTCCTCGACAGCTCCTGAACTCGAGAAGTTATTATTGCAGCCAGGCGGAAAATTGCTTCTTTCTCCGCGCGCGAAATGTTTACATGCCCGTGTCGCCTCGATGCGGATGTGGGGCGTGGC